GCAGCGAGCACCTAGGAGGTGGTGACCGCTGCATGGGGTGCTCCGGAGGGGCTGGCATCCCCAAGGTTCATGGGTCCCTCAGGCACAGGAGTCAAGGAAGGCGTGGACAAACTAGCCATACAGGCCTTCCAGAACCTTCTCAGGGGACACGCCCTCACTAAAAGCCTATCAGCGGTCCACTTAAGAAAAGGCTACTGAGCTCCACCCGGTGTCCATTCTCATCTCCACTGTCCCCCACACTCAGACACCTTGTCCTCCTGCCCCTAAACAAGGCAGGACACTCTGCTGTTGTGGGTCAGACGAGGGTTCTGTCCACACCCCACACTCACGTGTCATCTGCACGGCTGGTGCCACATTCTGCCCCCCGGCACCCCCACGGCACAGGGTAGAGACGCCTCGTTGGGTGGCCTTCTTCCTGCAGAGCCACTGGGGCGTCCTGCTCTCCGGTCAGCAGCCAGTAGATTAACCACTGCACCACCAGGTGCCCTGTCACCTTTCTGTACTCACGTAAAGCGGCATTTGATCACCAACACCAACCTCACTAGAAACCAAAACCATCACCATTGAGTCAGCTCCATTCACCGGGACCTCTTCCCGGGTTGCCCCAGCGGAAGGCTTCACGGGAAGAGACTGCCCATCTTTTCCCAACATGCGGCTGGTGGATTCGAACCACCAATCTTTCAGTAAACAACTGAACGCTTACTGCACTATTCCACCCTGCCTTCTGGTGTACCCAGGTCGGGGGGTGTGACGCTCCCTCCCCACGGGTTACCATCCTGAGCGGCTGCCTCTGCGTCATCCTTTCCCACAGACGGGACCTGGGTCAGAGAACCTCTGAGGCCCCTGCTGCTTCCTCTCCCCGCGGGAGACCCGTCTTTCTGTAAGGGCACCCCTAACAGGTAGGTGACCTCTTCGGAGCTCTATGAGTGAGTGCCCTGCCTGGCACCCGAGACTCAGCCAGCATGGAATGCCAGGAGCTGGGACCCATCCTGAGTCCCCAGAGGCTGAGCTGAGAGGGAGCCTCGACATTCTGTCTGCACCCCTAAACAGACATGGGCTCACGGCTTATAAAGTCGAGAAGGAGGTGGAGCTCCAAGCTGGCTGGACACACCCCAACACCATGGACATGTCCCACTGTGGAGCCCTCAGAGCTGTATTAGGGAGCTGCCTCTGGGCTCAGGGAGCTGGGCCAGGTCTGGACCAATGCGGGGTGGTGGCTGAGCTCAGCGTCCTGGTGGTCACGTGAGGCAGGACCCTTGTACTGGTAGCGCCCGTCTGTCCACATCCGACCAGGTGGTTATGTCTGGCCCCTTCCTCAGAGGGCGGCAAGGCCCCAGCCAGGCTTGCGGGGAGACCACGCTCAGGCCAGGCCAGCACTTTGAGGAACACCGTGATTGTCACTTGAAAGGTACACAGCTGCTCAAGCCTGAGGAACGCTTTGTAAACTGGGAAGAAAACGCTTTGGCTGAAGGTATTTTTAGCGTGGCTCCCGGGCCGGCTGAATTATGCAGCAGAAGCTGGGTGCGATGAGTCAGCAGCCGCGGCTGCCGAATGCCCTGCGGTCCCCCTGGGCCTGGATAGAGTGAGTCTCTGCAGGTCGGGCCTCCCCACTTTCCTGGCAGCGTCCAGGTCCAGGTGGCGCTGGCTGCTCATGGACCCCACTCCCTCCAAATTCTGCCTGCCAACCCCCCCCCCGCCGCCTCATGACCCCATCTGCCCACCATGAAGCTGTCCCACATCAAAAACAGAGCTGATGCATTGACATTACCAGGCAAAGGCCAAATGGTCTGTGGGCTAATGATGATATTATACATGAATAAAGCAAAGGGTCATTAAAAAGGCTGCAGAGGAAGAAAAGACCCAGTGGACGCCAGAAGAGACTGAAACTTGTTCTTGAATACAGACGAGGAGGCTGGGCTCTATGAGGAGGAGTGTGGCATCAGGATTGGAGGAAGACTCATTAACAACCTGCGTTATGCAGAAGACATAACCCTGCTTGCCAGAACTGAGGAGGACCTGAGGCACTTCCTGCAGAAGGTCAAGGACTACAGTCTTCAATATGAATAGCAGGTCAATGTCAAGAAGACAAAGATTCTCACCACTGGGCCAATTAGCAGCACCATGATAGATGGTGAAGAGATTGAGATTGTTAACAGCATCAGTTTGCTTGGCTCAACAGTCAACATTCTTGATACCAGCAGCCAGGAAATCAAAAGACAAATTGTATTGGGAAAGTCCGCTGTCAGGGACCTCGCCACAGTACTGACGAGAAATTATGTCAGTCTGGAGACTAAGGTGCACCTGCTCCAGGCAATGGTCTTTGTACTTACTTCCTGTGCATCATAAAGTGGGACAATGGCTGGGGATAACGGAAGGAGAATTGATGCCTTTGAGCTGTGGTGCTGGAGAAGAGTATTGAATGAACTGTTAGGAGAACAAACAGGTTCATCCAGGAGAGGGTGAAACCAGGATACTCCTTGGAGTCAAGGATTCTGAAGTTTCGTCTGACATATGCTGGGCATGTTGCAAGGATGGGCCATTCCCTTGGAGAGGGCCATCATGCTTGGGAGAGTGCAGGGACAGCACAGGGGAGGAAGACCCTGGATGTAAAGGGCTAGCTTAGTGACTGGGGTAATGGGGGTAGGTGTGTCAGAGACAATGAGGTTGGCTCAGGATAGAGCAGAGTTCAGAGCTGTTGTACACATGGTGGCTGAGCCACAAGCAACTCAACAGCACTTAAGAACAAGAACAAAGCACACAGGTCTGTCTTGGAGAGATCGAAACCAAGTTTCTCCTGGAGGCTAGGATTTTGAAGCTCCATTTCACATACCTTGGGCACATGGCCAAAAGGGACCAGTTCTTGGAGAAGGACCTGATGCTTGGGAGGGTGGAGGGTCAGCACAGGAGATGAAGACCTTGGATGACAGATTGATACAGTAACTGGGGCAATGAGATATGTGTCGGAGTCAGTGAGACTGACTCAGGACAGGGCAGTTCAGAGCTATTTACACAACGTCGCTATGAGTCACAGGTGACTCCACGGCACATAACAACAACACAGCAAACGGAGTGGGAGAAAGATGGACAACTTCCCCCTGCGTTATTTACGGCATCTAAAACCCTCTGGAGGGTCAGCTATGGGTCAGTTCCAACTAGAGGGCACTGAACAGTGGAAGTCAAAGAGCTGACTCCAAAGGGCAGCTTGAGAAGACAAAGGAACGCTTCATAACTATATGTGCAAAACCCGAGACTTAGAAAAGTAAAAGAAAAACATGTTTTTGCACCTTTCTCAAGGTGAATTAACTGGAGGAAAATTCAAGCCTCAAGTTTCAGTACTGACGTATATTATGTGTGTCAAGTCCGCTGCCTGCTGGTCAAGTTCAACTCCCAACAACACCAGAGGACAGAGGCCTGCCTCGCTCGGTTTCCAGGCGGTGATCTCTGTGGAAGCTGACGCCCACACTGCTCTCCTGTGGCACAGGCTGGTGGTTTCAACCAATCACCTTTCAGCTAGCTGTCAGCTTCTTTAACTACTGTGTCACCACAAAACACCCACAGAGCACCACAACACAAGGGGATACTATGCCATTTAAAATCAGAAAAGGTGAATGTCCAGGGCTGTAGCCTTTCACCATACTAATTCGACCTGCATGCTGGTCGAATAATCAGAGGCGCTGGGTTTTATGAAGAACTCGGCATCAGGACCAGAGGAAGACATATGACCGGCAACAGGCAGACGACACAACACACAGCTTTGTTTGCTGAGAGCAAAATGATTGGACGTGCCTACTGACGCAGACAAAGAGTATGGATTACATCTCAACATTAAGAAAAATTCTCACAACTGGACCAGGAAGCAACAGCATGACACAGAGGGCAAAGGGTGAAGTTGTCAGGATTTCACTTGATTTGGATCTGCAGTCAATGCCCAAGGGAGCATTATAATTGTTTACTGCATCACAGCGAGTCTGCAAAATGCTTCTTTAAAGTGTTAAAAGAGTAAAGATGTCCCTTTGAGGCCTTGGGTGTGACTGACCACCAGTCCCCAGGATTTCCAGTCACCTCCTACAGAGGCAGAAGTTGGACAATCAATAAGGAAGAAGAATTAATGAATTTCAAATAAGGCATTGATAAAGAATACCACATACCCACGACCAGCCCGGCAGCAAATACCTCCCTCGCGGACGCCGGACAGTGAGGGTACCCCTTAGAGGAGAAGATGCTAAGACTGGGCCTCACACATTTTAGATGATCAGAAAGGACGAGCTCCTGGGGAAAACATCATTAGAAAAGTAGTGAATCAGAGAAAACCAGGAAGACGCTCAGAAGACAGACGGGCACTGCGACCACAACCATGAGTTAAGTGTCACGGAGATTCTGAGATTGGTGAAGGAACAGAGAGGGCTTCCGGCCACTGTGAGAGGGTCACAGGAGTCAGAACCAGCAGCACTGAACAACAAAAGACCTGTCATCTCTACCTTGTAAATGTGACCCCATGTAAAATTGGGCTCTGAAGATGCTATCAGTTAGGCGAACATGAGCTCAGACTGGAGTCCGGTGGGCCCTATTCCCAGGTGACCAGTGTCAGCATACAGCAGAGAGACACAGAGGGAAGAGACGGGCAGATGACCACAGAGGCAGAGATCACAGTGATGCCAACATAAACCAAGGACACTTGAAGCCACCAGAAGCCAGAAAGGACACGAGGGATCTCCCAGTGTTCTCAGGGTGTAGTCCTGTCCATACTTTGAACTCAGATTGCTGGCCCTCAGGTCAGAGATTTGCAATCCTGTCCTGACAGCCCATTCACTTTGTCCACTATACAGTGGACAGAGAACAAGCAGCTGAGGGCATGCGCTTCGTAATTTCCTTCTGCACAAAGCTGGTCCAATGAGCCCTGTGCACCCCTGTGGAGCCAGGAGAGAGGCAGGCCCAGCCCCTGTGACGCTGACACCCCAGGACGGAGGGGCTGTGGCCGGGGACCTGCCCGGAGAGCTCACCTGGCAGGAGCGGAACTGGCTGACCAGCAGCGTGCACCTCTGCGGGTCCTTCCGCCCGTCCAGGCTGTCCAGCTCGGCCGCCACCTGGTTCAGCTCCTCATCCGCATAGTAGAACTGGGCGAGCAGCTGCGGGTCTGACCTCTGCAAGGAGACAAGGAGGTGACCGACGGGACATGCTGCCCCACTGGCCTTGCCCCATGGGCAGTGCCCCTGCCTGCCCTGGAGGCCTGACCCTTCTGCAGGTCAGCCAGGGAGCGCTGAGTCTCTAGAGGGCGTGGTCTCAGCAGGCTCCGCCCACTCACACCCACAGGTCCCACCCCTCACACCACCTGTTCACCTTCCCCGCCCTGTCAGTGGGCCCCACTCCTCCAGAGTCTCATCCATTGAGTCCTTCCCTCTACGGCCAGACCCATACACAGGGCCCCCCTCCACTGCACCCTGACCCCGCCACAGTCCGTCCACTGGGTTAGGCCCCTAGAAGCCCCTCCCCCTCCACAGGCCCCGCCCCCTCAAGAGTCCATCCACTAGGTCCACCCCTCTACAAGCCCTCCCCCTCCACAGGTCCCGCCTCCTCAGTCCATCCACTGGCTCCACCCTCACAAGTCCCACCCCCTTCACAGGTCCTGCCCCCTCTCAGTCCATCCACAGGCTCTGCCCTCACAAGCCCCTCCCCTCCACAGACTCCCGCCTCCTCAGTCCATCCACTGGCTCCACCCTCACAAGTCCCACCCCCTCCCCAGGTCCTGCCCCCTCCCAGTCCACCCTCTGGGTCCGTCCTCACAAGCCCCGCCCCTTCACAGTCCTTCCACAGGCCCACCCACACAGGCCCCGCCCCTCCACCGTCCATCCACTGGCTCCGCCCTCACAAGTCCCTCCCCTCCGCAGGCCCCGCCCCTCCACAGTCGATTCACTGGGTTCGCCCCTCCACGGTGCCGGAGGGGGTAGTGGGGAGTGTGGGTGGCACTGTCCCAAGGTCCCGCTGGCACGCTGTGGTCACCACCACCAGTGCTCCCGGACTCCTGTTCCTGGTGAGCCTGGGCTTTAGGCTCGTCAGTCAGCTTTCAGCAGGCATCCTTTCAGTCTGTCCCTCAGCCTCACCCACATGTCCTATTCCTGTGCCTCTCTGGGAAGATGCTATAGGCTGCGTGGTCAGTGTCACCAGTGTGGCCATGCAGGGGCCCCTTAAGCCATGGAGAGGTCTGTCTTCAGGGGAAGAGAATCCAGCCATTGTGCCTTTATCCTGCCTGCCAGCCATTCACCCACTCATCCTATCAACCCACTATACCCTATCCACACCATCACCATACCCATCAATCACCCAGCCAGCAGACACGCATTATTCCTTCTATCCATCCATTATCTACTCCCGTCTCACATTCATTCATCCACCCACCCATCCATCTATCCACTCACCAATCCATTTGCCAATACCCACCTACCACTCATTAATCCACACCTTGATTTTTCCATCTATATAGATATCTATTTACCCACCAGTCACCAACCTATCCATCTCACAGTGTCCATTTACTCATCCATCATCCTGTCATCCTTCCTTCTCTCCGTCTATCCATTCTTCATCTATACATCCTTCCATCTATCCACCCATCTGCTAATATATATGCCACATATACCAACCTGCCCCTTTGCTTTTAATTTCAAGCAGCCCCTGGTTGGCCCTATGCTGATGTCCCTTATCCTAAGGTAGTGAGGTGGGTGGGCAGCAATGACCCACTTATTCAAAGTAGGTATGGCCCCCACCTGTCAGGGTCTCCCTGCCACTCCCACCTCAGGAGGGGCAGGCACAGACCCCTTTTTGGCAAAGGGACCCAGGCCACCAACCAAGCAGACAAGGACTAGACGTTACTCTACACAGCCCCCTTCTGGGATCTGGCCCCGTCACCAGGGTCCACCACCTGCCTCGGGTGCCCTCAGAACCACAGGCTCGGAGCCCGGCGGAGCCTGTTCCCAAAGCATGTCAGGGCCTTTCCTGCCAGCTGGCAGCGAGCCTACCCGGTCCTACAAGCCCGCGGGCAACAGGGGCCCTCCCCGGGCACAGAGCGCCATCTGGCCTGCCTAATGGGCCAAGTGTGAATTTAGGGCATCACTCTGACAATGAGGCCTCCAGGAGGCCAGATCGCAGCCCCAGAAAGAGGGCCAGTGGGGGATCATGGACAAACACTTCCAGAGACAAGCTCAGCACTCTGTTCAACCCAAAGCCAACTGTTCCTCAGATACAGTGTCCACCTGCCCAGGCTAGCCAGCCATGCTGCCACCAGTTACATCACCTGGCCAGTGTGCCCAGTGAGGGCGGGAGGCCCAGGAGAGGCTGACAGTGGCTCACCACCAGCCTGCCACGGTCAGAGAGCGAGAGCCCTGCCCCACACCACACGCTCCTGTGGACCACAGAGGGACGCCCGCACGTTCTGAGGCTCCTGTGGACTCTGCCCCTCTACCTTCCGGCCCAGACTCTGTGAGTTCTGCCCCTGAGCCACCACGCTCCACAGCGAGGCCCCTCCAAGCTCCATCCCTGTGCTGCAAACAAGTGGATTAAGTGCTGTGAAGCGTGTATATATGCGTGTACATGATGCATGTGTGGGGCTGTGATCACATGCATGCTTACATGTGCACACCGTGTACACACTGTGAATCACTGTGTGTGCATAGTGCACCACGTGCAAACACAGATGCATGCTTGCACGTGTGAAGACTGCGTGCAGAGTCTATAACTGTGTGTGCACAAGTGCAGTGCATGCATGCATATACAGATGTCTGTGTCCAAGTTCACAAGTTCACATAACGGGGGGAAGGGCTGGGTCGGGAGGGGTGGAGCTAGCTGGCATCCCAACTACAGCTCACTCACCATGCATCCCACTGCCCCCCCCGAAGCTGAGACCCAGCACCTCTGTCTGCAGACACCCCGTTGAGAGATGACTAGCGGGACCACGTGTGTCCTGGAGTTTACAGTGTGTTTGGGATGGAGGGTGAGGAAGGCGAGCAGGGAGTCTGAACTGAAGGACCAATCCCACTTTCTAATCCCCACAACCAGGGTGAACTCCAGGGCAAGTGAGCTATTCGCGGTGAAGAGGGAGACTGCAGGGAGTGGTGACAAGTGGAAAGGACTCATCAGCTCAATGAAGAGGCTTGAGAGAGCGAGCGGCAGGCCCAGTCCATGCAGCACCTGCCTGGGGGCCAGGTCCAGCCCTGTGGCCACTGAGCGCCACATCTACGTAGCGAACCCAGGCCCGTGCTGTGTGCTCCGGAGGGTCCTGACCCTTGGGGTTCTGGGAAGGAGACTTAGTGGTGTGTGATGGGAATTCTGGGGAGCGTCCTGAGTCCAAGGAAATGAGGAGAAGGTGCAATTACAAAGCTGGACATACTGTCGCAAAGGCCTCCATCCCGGGAAGTCTTGCTCCCATGAGGGAAGCTGCTGCCACTGTCCTTGAGAGCTGTTGTCGGGTCAGCCTGAACTCTCGGTGACCCCGAGTATAACAGTACAGAGCGCTGCCGGTCCCCAGCCACCCCCGGGGAGCAGGGGGCAGACCGCACAACCGTGACCCGTAGGGCTTCCAATGGCTAATTTTGAGAAGCAGATCTCCAGGTCTTCCTTCCTGGTCTGCGTCTAAAAGCTCTGCTGAGGCCTGTTCAACACAGTCACATGGGGCCTCGACGGACAGGACAGTGGCTGCACGCAAGGTTCATGCGGCACAGAAGGCGAGACGTCTTCCCTTGAACCACCAAAGTCTCAGCCGCAAGCATGCTGACTCTTAAAGAAGAAGCTGTCATCTCTCCCTCTCCCCCGCCCCCACACACTCTCACACACTGGACAGAAAAATTAGAGAATCCCAAAAATAAAAACCCAGCAATGATCTCTATTTCACATGCAGAACCGCCCAAGCTATTTTGGTAACTTGGTGAGACCGTGGAATAGCTATCCAGCCCCCAGGGATGAGCATCAAACAAGCAGCCGGCTTCCCCCGTGCCCCTCGGTGGCCCGGCCGCAGTGGGGGTCCCGGAGAGCAGCCCTCATTGACTGTGCCAGCCACCCAAGCCCCGAGACCTCGGCCGCGAGGTGACCTCAGGCTTGGGCAGGGGTCCCAGGAAACGAATGAGCACAACTCACAAGATTAAATCCGCCCTGATTAACAGAATCCGAGGGGACCTTTCTGGTGCTACATTTCCATTTCTAACGACGCAGCAAACAATTATACTCTCAACCTAAATTGGACTTCGCGGCGCCTGGCGTTGCCTGCAAACCAGGCTCCCACACGGGCCCAGAGAAGCGAAGAGGCGGGTGCTCACGGGGACACCCAGCTGTCCTCCCCTTGACCTGAACCAGCTTTGTGAGGTGCCCTCACGTCAGCTTCAACTCACAGCGACCCTCTAAGTACAAGAGCACAAAACACGGGCCGTCCCGTGCTGTCCTTCCAGCTGTCACCACATCTGAGGCCACTGGGGCAGCCAGCAGCTAGGTCCCTCACTGAGCCTCGTTTCTCCAGGCGTGATGTCCTTCCTCAGCAGTGACAACTCCAAAGTACCTGAGCGCAATCTCGCCTGCGCACATCCGAGCGGTCTGGCTGTTCTCACGGCAGGTCCGCTGTTGCTTCTGGCAGCCCACGGTTTGTTCAATACTCTTCACCAGCACCAAAGGTGAAGACATCAATTCGCCAATGGTCTTCCTTACTCACTGTTGCACTGGAGGCCACAAGGTTATCTCCACTGGTTCAAATCCACCAGCTGCACCAAGGGAGACAAGGGTGTCTCCTCCCATTAAGAGCCTCAAAGGCCTCGTCAGCACCGACTCACTGGCAGTGACTTTTACCTTTTTACGGTCCAGCTTTTGAACATACGCGACGTTGACTGAAAATACCAGGGCCTAGGTCAGGCCCACCTTAGCCCTCAAGGTGACATCTCTGCTCACTGGCACTCTGAAGGGGTCCCTGGGAGCAGATCTGCTGAGTGCAAGGTGTCATCTGATTCCTGCTGTAGGTGTTGATCGTGGAGCCAAGGAAAACAAAACCCTTTACAACCTCAGGCGCTGTGTCTATCTTGATGCTGCTTCTCCATCTAGTTGATTTTTGTAGACGTTGAGGGGTGATGCACGCTGAAGACGACAGCCTTTGATCTTCACAACGAA